AGAGAGAGAGAGAGAGAGAGAGAGAGGGAACCTCAAGCAGGCTCTATGCTCTCAGTGCAGAGCCCAACACAGGGCTTGACCCCACCACCTTGAGATCATGACCTGAGACGAAATCAAGAGTCAGATGCTCAATCGATGGAGCCGCCCAGGCGCCCCTCTTCTGTTATTGATAGTAGAATTGTGCTTGTGTAAACGGAATGCTTTAGGAGATGGCAGTGGGTATATCTAGGGGTAAAAATGTCATATTATCTATAATTTACTTACAAATGGCTAAAAACCCAATGCATACATATACAGATTCAGAGTCGAACAAACATGACAAAACATTAATAGTTGTTAAATCTGGATGGTGGGCATACAGATATCCACTGCACTGTTCTTTCAGCTTTTCTGTATACCTAAAAATGTTCGTAATCAAAGGAACAACAACAAAAAAACAAAACAAAAGGCAACCCTCAATACCGGTACTAAACATAGTCCTTACAGCTTGGTTTAAAATGCAGCTGGCTCTTTCTATGGACTTCTCTAATCCCTCCCTTTCTTTGTCTGAACTCCCACATCATTTCTGCCTATTGTAACATAGCAATCAAACTTGTGTTAATAGTATTAGCAAGGCTGACTCTAAACTCTTCCAGAACTAGAGACATGTTTTCTCCGTCTTTAACACCCACATCTTTCACCTAAATTAAAAGTTCATGGCATTTATGCCCAGAACTCGTGCGGTTGGAGGGTTGTGCTTCTGGAAAGAATTGCCAGGTGCTCATTTAAGACACCCCTTGCTTCTAGGATGGGTCACACCTAAATGATTCCAGGTAAACCATCTGTGTGACACTAATCTGTAAGAATAGGGTTAGAGGAGATGATCTGTTAGTCCCTTTCAGTGTTAACATTTTGATAGTCTATGAATTATCTGCCGTGTTTTTAAAAATGTTTATTTATTTTGAGGGAGAACACACATGCACATGTGCAGGGGAGAGGCAGAGAGAGAGAGAGAGAGAGAGAGTGAGTCCAAGCAGGCTCCACTCTGGGCTCTATCCCTTGAACCGTGAGATCACGACCTGAGTGGAAATCAAGAGTCTGACCCTTCACTGAGCCACCCAGGCCTCCCCTAACCGCCATGTTTAAGCTCTCAAAGAATCCATAGCACTTGTATCATGAGTCCATCTCCTAACTATTTACAAAGGCACACAGTTCTACAATACACGTGACCCAGCACCGTCTGGGTTTTAAGCCTCCTTCCTCTGCTTTGTCCTTGATAGACAGAGAGAGGGAGGATTAAGATATGCTACCAGACAGGAGCACCTGGGTGGCTCAGTGGATTAAGCGTCAGACTTCAGCTTAATGATCTCGCGGTTTGTGAGTCCGAGCCCCGCGTCGGGCTCTGTGCTGACAGCTCAGAGCCTGGAGCCTGCTTCGGGTTCTGTGTCTCCCCCTCTCTCTGCCCCTCCCCCACTCACACCATGTCTCTCTCTCAAAAATAAATAAACATTAAAAAAAAAAAAAAGATATGTTACCAGACGGGAAACTGGATGTGAAGTCTATCACAAACAAGGCCTCTCTGGGACTCCAACGACTTTCCCTGTGTGGCTCTCAGGGGCCACATCATATTCACTTCATCACATGAACATTGTAAAACCTAGAACAAAATGCCAAATTCTCATAAAAAGGTCACACGCTTATGAAACTGTAGATTTTCCTGATGATACTGGATTTCCAAAAGAGCTCAAACTAGGGGGTCGTCAATTCTATTTGCCAGAAGATTTGGTTTTGTTTAATGGAAAACTCTTTTAAAGACTGAAGTCACTGAAAGGATGAGTTTTATTTGTCCCCTCTTCAAGAACATATCAAGTAAATAAGGGCAAGCTGCAAATGTTGCTTCCATTCATGGAAGTTTAAGGAAACAGACTCTTTTCTTGGTTAGTACAGATAGTAAAGCCGGTAGTGCTGACTCACGATGTTTTTTTGTTTTTTTTTTTTCAAGACAAACAGCCTCTTATTCTAATTTCCAAACATCATCTGCTGATCCTCTTTTTCACAGATGTA